ATAATCTGTGAGGCGAATGACCTGTTGTACTCCTAGTGTGTGTGTGTGTGTGTGTGTGTGTGTGTGTGTGTGTGTGTGTGTGTGTGTGTGTGTGTGCTACTTAAAGGCCTTCCTGCCCTTTCCTCACCGCCCTTCACCACCCTTCACTGCCCTTCACACCACCTCTTCACCACCTCCCTTTCACCACCCTCTTCACCACCTCACCGCCCCTTCACCGCCCCTTCACCACCCTTCACCGCCCCTTCACCACCTCCTTCACTGCCCTTCACCACCCTTCACCGCCCTTCACCACCCTTCACCGCCCCTCACCCTCTTCACCGCCCTTCACCACCCTTCACCACCTTCACTGCCCCTTCACCACCCTTCACCACCCTTCACCGCCCTTCACTGCCCTTCACCGCCCCTTCACCACCCTTCACCGCCCTTCACCGCCCCTTCACCACCCTTCACCACCCTTCACCACGCTTCACGCCCTTCACCACCTCTTCACCGCCCCTTGCCACCCTCCAGTGACCCTGTTGCTGAGTGAGGCTGACGGCTGTGTAATGAATGAATGAGTGAATAACAAATACCGCGTGTGTGTGTGTGTGTGTGTGTGTGTGTGTGTGTGTGTGTGTGTGTGTGTGTGTGTATAAGGCCGACTACACAACACACACACACACACACACACCTCTCTTAATATATTAACGTATTTTGTCCCGATATTTACATAAATAAATACTTTCCTCCGTTAGATAGGGGATTCATACTGTATATAACGGACCCTCTATATAACGGACCCTTGATATACCGGACCCTCGATATAACGGATCCGATATAACGGACTATATAACGGATCTCGATATAAACGACATTCGATATAACGGACCCTCGATATAACGGACCCTCGATATAACGGATCCTCGATATAACGGACCTTCGATATAACGGATCCTCGATATAAACGACATTCGATATAACGGACTCTCGATATAACGGATCCTCGATATAACGGACACTCGATATAATGAATCCTCGATATAACGGACCTCGATAACGGACCTCGATATAACGGATTTTCCTCCCCATATGGTTCGTTAAAAAGTATAATCGTTCACTAACTGACAACATTATCTTGTCATTATCGATATTCGTTTTTTTTTTTTTTTTTTTTGTATCCACACATTTCTGAGACCACGTCAGCGAGGGTTAGTTTGTGGAATGTCCGATAGATGGCGTGTGTGGGGTTGTGGATAGTGTGGATGTTGGTGTGGTTGTGATGAGGTGGATAGATGATGGTTGTGTGGTTGTGGGTAGTGTGGGTGGTTGTGGGTAGGGTGGTTGTGTGGTTGTGTGTGGGTGGTTGTGTGGTTGTGGGTGGGTGTGGGTGGTTGTGTGAGGAGGTGGATAGATGATGGTTGTGTGGTTGTGGGTGGGTGGTTGTGTGGATGGGTAGTGTGGGTGGTTGTGGGTAGTGTGGGTGGTTGTGTGGTTGTGGGTAGTGTGGGTGGTTGTGTGGTTGTGATGAGGTGGATAGATGATGGTGTGGTTGTGGGAGTGTGGGTGGTTGTGTGGATGTGAGGAGGTGGATAGATGATGGTTGTGTGGTTGTGATAGTGTGGATATTTGTAAGGTAGTGATAGTGTGGTTGTTGTTGTGGTTATAAGGTTGTGGATAGTGTGGTTGTAAGGTTGTGGATAGTGTGGATGTCTGTGTGACAGGAGGTAACAAAGACAGAATGGGAAGGGAGAAGATAGAAGGAAGAGGTTAGGTTAGGTTAGGTGTTGGTTAGGTTAGGTTAGGTGTTGGTTAGGTTAGGTGTTGGTTAGGTTAGATTAGGTGTTGGTTAGGGGTTAGGTGTTGTTAGGTTATGTTAGGTGTTGGTTAGGTTAGGTTAGGTTAGGTGTTGCTATGTTAGGTTATGTTAGGTGTTGGTTAGTTAGGTGTTGGTTATGTTAGGTTATGTTAGGTGTTGGTAGGTTAGGTTATGTTAGGTGCTGGTTAGGTGTTGGTTAGGTTAGGTGTTGGTTATGTTAGGTTATGTTAGGTGTTGGTTAAGTAGTGTTGGTTATGTTAGGTTATGTTGTGTTGGTTAGGTTAGGTGTTGGTTATGTTAGGTTATGTTAGGTGTTGGGTTAGGTTAGGTTAGGTGTTGGTTATGTTAGGTTAGGTGTTGGTTTCACTAAGAGAAGCTTTATTTCACGTCGACTTGTTGTTTTTTTGCTAAATGGTGAACCAAAGAGGAACTCAAATAAGAAGAGGAGGAGGAAGGAAGAGGAAGAGAGAAAGAGGAAGAGGGGAAAGAGGAAGGGGAGAAAAGGAAGGAATAAAGGAAGAGGAAGAGGAGAAAAGGAAGGAAGAAGAGAAGAGGAAGAAGAGAAAAGGAAGGAAGAGGAGAAGAGGAAGAGCAGGAGAAGACACCCAGTATCACACACCTGCACACGATCTCATCAGTATAGGTAAGTTAATTAAGCTCATTAGACAAGACTTGACTCAACCTTTACCTGCAAACTTTGATATTACCTGTAGTAATATAGCTCCAGGTATTACAGCGGTAACACCACTCACCTCACTCACTCGCTCACCACCACCACCAACCCCACTCCACTCACCAACTCACTCACTCACTCCTCACTAACTCACCACCACCTCACCTCACCAACTCACCCACTCGCTCACCTACTAACTCACTCACCCCACCACCACTCACCACCCCACTCCACCCCGCTCACCACTCACTCACCACTCGCTCACCAACTCACTCACTCACCTCACTCACTCACTCCACACCACCACTCACTCACAACCGCTCACCACCACCCTCACTCACTCACTCACTCACTCACTCGTAGTGTGTGTGTGTGTAATAAACTGGAGTTATGTTTATCTTGTTGTTTTAGCCAATTAATTGAGAGCAAGACTTTATCAACAGGTTATTAGGTAAGAAGAGAGAGAGAGAGAGGAGAGAGGGGGGAGAGAGAGAGAGAGAGAGAGAGAGAGAGAGAGGAGAGAGAGAGATAGAGAGGTCACGGTTGTTTTGGGCAAGACAGATAGACAGACCAACCAGACAGACAGACAGGCAGACAGACAGACAGACAGGCAGACAGACAGACAGAGATCCTGTCTATAGTATTTTATTGACCAGGCTCCTCGTGGTGGTGGTGGTGGTGGTGGTGGTGGGTGATGGTAGTGGTGGTGGTGGTAGTGGGGGATGGGTGGTGATGGTGGGGTGGTGGTGGTGGTGGTGGTGGTGATGGTGATGGTGCGGGTAGTGGTGATGGTGGTGGTGGTGATGGTGCAGGGGTGGTGGTGATGGTGGTGGTAGTGGTGATGGTGCGGGGTGGTGGTGATGGTGGATGGGTGGTGGTGGTGATGGTGGTGGTAGTGATGATGGTGCGGGTGGTGGTGGTAGTGATGGTGGGTGGTGATGGTGATGGTGATGGGTAGTGATGATGGTGCTAGTGGTAGTGGTGATGGTGGTGGTAGTGGTGGTGGTGATGGTGGTGGGTGGTGGTGGTATTGGTGGTAGTGATGATGGGTGCTGATGGTGCGGGTGGTGGGTGGTGGTGGTGTGATGGTGGTGGTAGTGATGATGGTGCTAGTGGTGGTGGTGATGGTGGTGGTAGTGATGATGGTGCGGGTGGTGGTGGTGATGGCTACGTGTCTGTGAATATATATGTCTCTACTTGTTGCGTCAGCCTTGTGAGGTGCGCGTGATCTAGGTATACGCTGATAACCACAAGGAAAGAGAGATGGATAGAAAAGATAGATGGATGGATGATTGGATAGATAGAATGAATGATTGGATATATACTCGTAGATGGATGGATGTGTGGACGGATGGATAGATAGATAATAAGATATATATATATATATATATATATATATATATATATATATATATATATATATATATATATATATATACATATTTATATATATATATATATATATATATATATATATATATATATATATATATATAGAGAGAGAGAGAGAGAGAGAGAGAGAGAGAGAGAGAGAGAGAGAATACCCACCAATAGCAAGTGCCACGCCTCACCTTGCCCAAGACTCGCCGCCTCCCAGGACCTAACCTAACCTAACCTAACCTAACCTAGCCTAACCTAACCTAGCCTAACCTAACCTAACCTAACCCAACCCAACTTAACCCAGCCTAACCTAACCTAACCTAACCTAACTCTAACCCAACCTAACCTAACTTAACCTAGCCTAACCTAACCTAACCTAATTATGAAGAAAAAAACTCCTCCCACACACGTCCAGACTACAGCTGCTGACCATGGAGCTGACTGTTGGCTGACGCACCTTGGCTGTCAGCGATCGTCAGCTGGGAACCTCACCATGTGGCTGTTGGGATCCTCGTGAGAAACAGACCTCAGGCGCCAGGTCTCAGCTTTCTCCCCCAGAGATTCAATATATCATAAGATTTACCTCCTCCCACACCTCCCCCACACACCTCCCCCACCTGTCCCTCGCACCTCCCACACTCCTCCCCATACCCTCCCCGCACCTCCCCACACCTCCCCATACCTCACTACACCTCCCCACACTCTCCCCATACTCGTCCCTCGCACCTCCCCACACTCCCTCCCACTCTCCCTCGCACCTCCCCACACCCTCCCACACCTCCCCACACCCTCCCACACCCTCACCACCTCCCCACACCTCCCCCATACTTCTCCTCGCCACCTCCCCACACTCCTCGCACATCCCCACACCCTCCCCACACTCCTCCCCATACCCTCCCCACACCTCCCCATACCTCCCCACACCCTCCCATACCCTCCCCACACTCGTCTCCCCACCTCCCCCACACCTCCCAACTCCTCATCCATCCCCACACCACCCCAACCTCCCAGATCCTCCCCCACACCTCCCCCACACCTCCCCACACCTAACCTAACCCTGGGCTCACACGAACACGTTAAAGGTGGGGTGGATGTTTAGGATATACTCACATAATCCAGCCAATATATCCATCCTGGGTGACAATAGTGTGGATGACTCTTGAATCCACTCCAATCCACCGTGTGTGTACTCCCTCGCCACACCCCAAGCCAGACTGTACTCCCTCGCCACACCCACAGGCCACACTATACCCCAAGCCACGCCCACAGGCCACACTATACCCCAAGCCACGCCTCCAGACTTGCCCTGGGATGGTAACGTGCCCCAAGTCCTGACCAATCATCATCTTGGCACTACACGTCCTTGGCCAATCACATTCGAGTGTTGGTCTACTGGGAGGAGGAATTTTTTTTTTTTTTTTGACTGGAAGATTTTGTTGTTGTTGGTAGTATTGATATGTAGCTTTACATGTTGTTATTACCTGCAAGAGAGAGAGAGAGAGAGAGAGAGAGAGAGTGTGTTCAGATCAGTAAAGAAGTAATTCCTGTGTCGTCATGACTCTCAGGTGTACACAGGTGCACTACTGAGTACTCATACTCACACACATGTTTACATAACACATGTGAGACACGCACAGCATTTACATCACACACACACACACCACTGGACACAAGCATCTCTTTTTTTTTTTCTCTCTCGACCAGATTTGTTTTCGTCTTCCTGAGGGTCGAAGAGTGTGTGTGTGTGTGTGTGTGTGTGTGTGTGTGTGTGTGTGTGTGTCACCATAACATCTTAATAATTTTATATTTTTTTATCGCTAATTACTCACCACTTTGACTCTTCACCTGAACTGACCTTTAATTTCCGGATGCTTGAGTGTGACCTGTCATCCAGAACGCACTCACCTGAAAGACAAGATGAAATAGTTGGTTAGGTTAGGTTAGATTAGGTTAGGTTAGGTTAGGTTAGGGAAGGTTAGGTTAGGTTAGGTACTTTAATTTACTTCACCTGAGTTATTTCTACTTTGTTTAAATTGAGTTCATTATACATATATATATATATAAGACCACTGTATATGTGTGTATAATGGAACCGATAGATATATAATGGAACCGACGGGACACTATAAGAACCGACAGGATACCATAATGGAAACTGACGGGACACTATAATGGAACTGACGGGACACCATAATGGAACCGACGGGACACCATAATGGAACTGACAGGATACCATAATGGAAACTGACGGGACACCATAATGGAACCGACAGGATACCATAATGGAACCGACAGGATACCATAATGGAACCGACGTGACACCATAATGGAACCGACAGGACACAATAATGGAACTGACAGGACACACAAATCACCGACAGGGCACCACAAATCACCGACAGGACACCACAAATCACCGACAGGACACCACAAATCACCGACAGGACACCACAAATCACCGACAGGATACCACAAATCACCGACAGGATACCACAAATCACCGACAGGACACCACAAACACAAAAACGTTATTACAACATTCTTCCAGGATTCCTAAAGGGTCTGGAATGGGTGCCAGGAATGCCAGAGTTGTGCCAGACAGGTAACTTTCCTTTGAGGTTCCAGGTAGTGTACAGGTAAGCTTTAAGGACAAAACTAAACAACAGGAATAATATTATAGTCATCCTTGTGTCTAGTTCCCGTTTTCTTTCACTTCTTCCCTTTTTTTCTTGTTTCTTTTGTTCTTTAATCTTTTTATTTTCTTTGCCATTTTCTTTTTCGTTTTAATTTTTTTTATTATTTTTATTTTTTCAATTTTACTTTCGTTTCCTTTTCATTTTTCTTTCTTTTATTTATCCTTTTTCTTTTGTTTCTTTATTCCTTTTCGTATTTTGTTATGAATGTTACTCCTGTTTTCTTTATATATTTTTTATTTCTTATTAAAAAAAACTCACCTGACGACATATTGTAAATAACACCCTAAAACTAACATCTGTTCTCCTTACAGATACCAAAGCCCAAAATCTTCTCCAAAGTCTGCACAAACCCTGAAATCTTCTCCAAAGTTCACAAACCCTGAATTTCCAAAGTTCCACCAAACCCTGAAATCTTCTCCAAAAGTCTGCACCAACCCTGAAATCTTTCACAAACTGAATTCTCCAAAGTCTCCACCAAACCCTGAAATCTTCTCCAAAAGTCTCCACCAAACCATGAAATCTTCTCCAAAAGTTCCACCAAACCCTGAAATCTTCTCCAAAAGTCTCCACCAAACCCTGAAATCTTCTCCAAAGTTCCACCAAACCCCTGAAATCTTCCAGTCTCCATCAAACCCTGAAATCTTTCTCCAAAGTTCCACCAAACCCTGAAATCTTCTCCAAAAGTCTCCACTAAACCCTGAAATCTTCTCCAAAAGTCTCCACCAAACCCTGAAATCTTTCTCCAAAAGTCTCCACCAAACCCCTGAAATCTTCTCCAAAAGTCTCCACCAAACCTGAAATCTTTCCAAAGTCTCCACCAAACCCTGAAATCTTCTCCAAAAGTCTCCACCAAACCCCTGAATTCTTCTCCCAAAAAGTCTCCACCAAACCCTGAAATCTTCTCCAAAAGTCTCCACCAAACCCCTGAAATCTTCTCCTCCAAAAGTCTCCACCAAACCCCTGAAATCTTTCTCCAAAAGTCTCCACCAAACCCCAAAATCTTCTCCAAAAGTCTCCTACGTGAAGATCTCCTTTACCTGGAGATCATAGAAAAAAACCCTCACCTGGGACCACTAAAGCCACTATGATACACTGAAGATGGTAGACCAAAACCAACAAACTCGCCTTAATTTATACACACACGTCACCTACTTCAGTAAAAAGTATGTAAAGTATTCAAAAGTATTATTTTCATTAAGGTAATAAGACTTTTAACAAGAGTTTTTTTTACAACTTTTTTGTCGATTTTTTGTTTTTTGGTTTTTACTTTTTTCTGCCTCTGGTTATGGTTCCTCTTGTTAGCTGGTTGTGGTTGGCAGCTAGGGGAGTTTGTAGGTGTCAGCTAGGAAGGTTGTAGGGCTGCGAGGAAGGTTATCGGTGTCAGCTAGGAAGGTTGTCGGTGTCATCTAGGTGGCAGTGTCAGGGGGGTTGCAGGTGTCAGCTGGTGTTCTAGGGGTCAGGAGGGTTCCAGGTGTCAGCTGGAAGGTTACAGGTGCAGCAGAAAGTTGCTGTTGCTGGGGGCAGAGTGTCAGGAGGGTTGTAGGTGTCAGGAGGGTTACAGGAGTCAGCTAGGAATGTTGTATGTCAGCTAGGAAGGTTGTAGGTGTCAGCTAGGTGGCAGAGTGTCAGGAGGATTACAGGTGTCAGCTGGGAAGGTTGTGTGTGTCAGGAGGTTACAGGTGTCAGCTTGAAGGTTTTAAGTGTCAGCAGGTGGCAGAGTGTCAGGAGGATTACAGGTGTCAGCTAGAAGGCAGAGGGTTGAGGACGCGTGCCATAATGCGATATTTTCAGGTTAAAGACGTAGATTCTGAGAGACTCCTATACCAATCAGGAGCTTAGCAGGGGTCCAGGGGAGGGGGGGAGAGAGAGGAGAGGGAGAGAGGGAGAGGGAGAGAGAGGAGAGGAGAGAGAGGAGAGGGAGAGGGAGGGAGAGGAGAGAGGGAGAGGGAGAGAGGGAGAGAGAGGGGAGTAGGGAGAGGGGGAGAGAGAGAGAGGGAGAGAGAGGGAGGAGAGAGGGAGAGGAAGAGAGAGGGAGGAGAGAGAGGGAGAGAAGAGAGAGGGAGAGGAGAGAGGAGTAGGAGAGAGAGGGAGAGGGAGAGAGAGGAGGGGGGAGAGGAGAGGGAGGAGAGAGAGGGAGAGAAGAGAGAGGGAGAGGGGAGAGAGAGGGAGTGAAGAGAGAGGGAGTAGGAGAGAGAGGGGAGTAGGGAGAGAGAGGGAGCAGGAGAGAGGGAGAAGAGAGAGGGAGTAGGGAGAGAGAGGAGGAGGAGAGAGGGAGTAGGGAGAGAGGGGAGTAGAAGAGAGAGAGTAGGAGAGAGAGGGAGAGAAGAGAGAGGGAGTAGGAGAGAGAGGGAGTAGAAGAGAGAGGGAGTAGGAGAGAGAGGGAGAGGAGAGAGAGGGAGTAGGGAGAGAGGAGAAGAGAGAGGGGAGAGGAGAGAGAGGGAGAAGAGAGAGGGAGGAGAGAGAGGGAGAGAAGAGAGAGGGAGGGGAGAGAGGGAGAGGAGAGAGAGGGAGAGAGGAGAGGAGAGGGGAGAGAGGAGTAGGAGAGAGAGGGAGAAGAGAGAGGAGAGAGAGGGAGTAGAAGAGAGAGGGAGGAAGAGAGAGGGAGAGGAGAGAGAGGGAGAAGAGAGAGGGGAGTAGGGAGAGAGGAGGGGAGAGGAAGGAGAGAGGAGAGGGAGAGAGAGGGGAGTAGGGGAGAGAGGGGAGGGGAGAGAGAGGGAGTAGAGAGAGAGGGAGAGGGAGAGAGAGGGAGGGAGAGAGGGAGAGGGAGAGAGAGGAGAGAGAGGGAGTAGGGAGAGAGAGGAGAGAGGGAGAGGGAGAAGGAGAGAGAGGGAGTAGGGGAGAGAGAGGGAGAGAGAGAGGGAGTAGGGAGAGAGAGGGGAGAGGAGAGAGAGGGGAGAGAGAGAGGGAGTAGGGAGAGAGAGGGAGAGAGAGAGAGGAGAGAGAGAGGAGAGGAGAGAGAGGGAGAGAGAGGGAGTAGGGAGAGAGAGGGAGTAGAGAGAGAGGGAGTAGGGAGAGAGAGGGAGGAGAGAGAGGAGAGAAGAGAGAGGGGAGGGGAGAGAGAGGGAGAGAAGAGAGAGGGAGAGGAGAGAGAGGGAGAGGAAGAGAGAGGGAGTAGGGAGAGAGAGAGGAGTAGGGAGAGAGAGGGAGTAGGGAGAGAGAGGGAGGAGAGAGAGGGAGAGAAGAGAGGGGGAGGGAGAGGGGAGTAGGAGAGAGAGAGGGAGAGAGAGGGAGGGGAGAGGGGAGGGAGAGAGGGAGTAGGGAGAGAGAGGGAGTAGGGAGAGAGGGGAGAGAGAGAGGGAGTAGGAGAGAGAGGGAGAGAGGGGAGAGAGAGAGGGGAGAAGAGGGAGTAGGGAGAGAGAGGGGAGAGAGAGAGAGGGGAGTAGGGAGAGAGGGAGTAGGAGAGGGAGTAGGAGAGAGAGGGAGTAGGGAGAGAGAGGGGAGTAGGGAGAGAGAGGAGAGAGAGAGGAGTAGGGAGAGAGGGGAGTAGGGAGAGAGAGGAGTAGGAGAGGGAGTAGGGAGAGAGGGGAGTAGGGAGAGAGAGGGAGAAGAGAGAGGGAGAGAGAGAGGGAGGAGAGAGAGAGAGGGAGTAGGAGAGAGAGGGAGTAGGAGAGAGGAGAGGAGAGAGAGGGAGAGAGAGGGAGGAGAGGGGGGAGTAGGGAGAGAGGGAGGGAGAGAGGGAGAGGGAGAGAGAGGGAGAGGAGAGAGAGGGGAGTAGGGAGAGAGAGGGGAGTAGGGAGAGAGGAGGGAGAGAGGGGGAGGAAGAGAGAGGGAGTAGAAGAGAGAGGGGAGGGGAGAGAGGGAGTAGAAGAGAGAGGGAGGGAGAGAGGGAGTAGGGAGAGAGAGGGAGAAGAGAGAGGGGGGGAGAGAGAGGGAGAAGAGAGAGGGAGTAGGGAGAGAGGAGAGAGAGGGAGAGAGGAGAGAGAGAGGGAGGGAGAGAGAGGAGGGAGAGAGGGAGTAGGGAGAGAGAGGAGGGAGAGAGAGGGAGTAGGGAGAGAGGGGAGAGAGGGAGGGAGAGAGGGAGGGAGAGAGAGGAGGAGAGAGAGGAGTAGGAGAGAGAGGGAGTAGAAGAGAGAGGAGGAGAGGAGAGGGAGAGAGAGGAGGAGAGAGGGAGAGGGGAGAGAGAGGGAGTAGAGAGAGAGGAGAGGAGAGGGAGTAGGGAGAGAGAGGGAGAGGGAGAGAGGGAGAGAGAGAGAGGGAGGAGAGAGAGGGAGAGGGAGAGAGAGGGAGTAGGGGAGAGAGAGGGAGAAGAGAGAGGGAGGGGAGAGAGAGGAGAGGAGAGAGAGGGAGAGGGAGAGAGGGGAGAGAGAGAGAGGGAGAGAGAGGGAGGGGAGAGAGAGGGAGTAGGGAGAGAGGGAGTAGGGAGAGAGAGGGGGAGAGAGAGAGGGAGTAGGGAGAGAGAGGGAGTAGGGAGAGAGGGAGTAGGGGAGAGAGGGAGGGAGAGAGGGGAGTAGGGAGAGAGAGGGAGAGGGAGAAGAGGGAGAGGGAGAGAGGAGAGGGAGAGAGGGAGAGAGGAGGAGAGAGGGAGGAGAGGAGAGGGAGAGGAGAGAGGGGAGAGGAGAGAGAGGGAGAGAGAGAGGAGAGGAGAGAGGAGAGAGAGAGAGGGGAGAGGGAGAGAGAGGGAGGAGAGAGGGAGTAGGGAGAGAGGGGAGAGAAGAGAGAGGGAGAGGGAGAGAGAGGGAGAAGAGAGGGAGGAGAGAGAGGAGTAGGGAGAGAGAGGGGAGGAGGAGAGAGAGAGGGGAGGGGGAGAGAGAGGAGAGGGAGAGAGAGGGAGGAGGAGAGAGGAGGGAGAGAGGGAGGGGAGAGAGGGGAGTAGGGAGAGAGAGGGAGAGGGAGAGAGGGAGAGGGAGAGAGAGAGGGAGAGAGAGGAGTAGGAAGAGAGAGGGAGAGAGAGGGGAGTAGGGAGAGAGGGAGTAGGGAGAGGGGAGAGGGAGAGAGGGGAGAGAGGGAGAGGGAGAGGAGAGAGAGGGAAGGGAGAGAGGAGTAGAAGAGAGAGGGAGAGGAGAGAGAGGAGTAGAAGAGAGGGAGAGGGAGAGAGGGAGTAGGGAGAGAGAGGGAGTAGGGAGAGAGAGGGAGAAGAGAGAGGGAGTAGGAGAGAGAGGAGTAGAAGAGAGGAGAGAGAGAGAGAGAGAGAGAGAGAGAGAGAGAGAGAGAGAGAGAGAATCGAGGAGAAGTGAATGAAGGAGAAAGGGATAAAGAATAGATGAGACACAGAGAGATGAAGAAGGGGAAAGAGGATGGAGATAAATGAACAGCAAGAGACAGAGAAGAAAGAAGATACAAGGAGAAACGATAATAAGAGGGACAGGGAGAGAGGAAGGTGAGGTGATAATGAGTCAATTTGAAGGACCATTCTGGGACCATTGTAGTGGGCCATGGCTGAAGGGTCCATAAAGGGGCCACTTATCACCGGCCCTAGACCCTAACCTAACCTAACCTAACCTATCTCAGGGTAAGGGGATAAGGAGAGTGAAGGGTGGGAGGGAGGGAAGGGGTAGGGAGGATGGTAGGGCGGAGGGAGAGAGGGAGAAGGAGGGAGGTAGAGGAAGGGAGGGAAGGAGGAGAGGAAGGAAAGGAGGGGAGGAAGGAGGAGCAAGGAAGGAAGGGAAGAACATTAAAATATACTGACTTTTTACATCAATTCATATTACCAACAAAAGAAAAAATCTAAT